TGAGAGAATGCTGAAATTTTTGCTGACCTGTTTGATTGGAGAAGCTGTCTGTAGGGATCCTTCGTTTGAGCTAAGATGTAAGCATAGAAGTACCAGAAGGCACTTCTATGTGTGAATAAAATAAACCAGAAGTGCCAAGAGACAGAGCGAGATTGAGAGGACACAGAGACAGGGAGAGATGGAGGTGGGGAGTAATACTCATTGAGCCCAAATTATATTACTGCTTTAAAATCCCTAGGCTTCCTAAATTTTATAATTTATAAGATTTTTGATATATGTCACCTGAAAAATTATGTTTTAGTCTTTTGAAAACACTTTAATAAAAGAAATTCTGTATCAGGCCATGTCATAGGGTCTTCCCTAACTCCAAAGGGTGGACAATTATTCCCTTCTTAATTGTCCTCTGTGCTCTATTTATAAAGCTCTGACTCAGTTCAGTTTAAATGTATGGAGTTTTCTTTGTTTTTTTGTTTTGTTTTTGATTTTGATTTTTACCATAGAGTGTGTTTGCTCTCCCTAGGAAAAAAAAAAAGAGAGAGAAAGGGAGTGAAGGCAAGTGAGAAGTCACTCCCCAGGGAGGATGACCAGGCCACAGTTCCTTCTCCTCTAGTCTCCTCTCAGGATTTGGGGGCATGCACATACATGTGCCTGGACTGTTTTTTGAGCTGCTGGGTCCAGAACTCAAATCATGCCATTGGCCATGTGACATGCAAGGCCTTAAGCTCCATGCTACCTGCTGGACGTAAATATACATTTTCTTCATACATCTCCTCAGTAAGACTGGAGGCACTCTGAGGACACAGGCCATGCCGCAGTCCTCCTCGCATCCTCTGAACCAATCACAATGCCTAAAATAGAGGAGCACTTATTATTGATTGAGTTGCAGTGGCCAGGCATTGTGATTTCGACACAGAGGGGGTGATGTCTGCATTAAATGACACTGCTGTCACTTAGACAAAAATTCATCAGTGACCAGGTAGATGGTTCTCCATGGCGGTCATAACAAAGTACCGCAGTACGGGGGGCTTAAACTTAGCTTCTTCCTCTGTTTCCATATGGACTTTCCTCTGTGCACACACGTCTGTGTCCAAATTTCTTCTTCCTCTAAGGTCACCTTTTCTTTTCTTTTCTTTTCTTTTCTTTTCTTTTCTTTTCTTTTCTTCTTTCTTTTCTTTTCTTCTTTTCTTTTGTTTTTTTTTTCTTCTTTCTTTTCTTTTCTTTTCGTTTTTCTTTTCTTCTTTTTTTGTAATTAAGGTCCATTTAACCCTAAAAGCCCCATTTTACTTTACCACATTTTTTTTAAGAATTATTTTATTTATCTTTATTTACCTATTTATTCATTTGTTTATTTCAATTTGACCAGAGAGGGACAGAGTGAGAGAGAGAAAGAGAAAGTGAGAAAGCAAGCCGCCAGGTCCAGGACTTGAACTGTGGTCAGCCATGTGAGAATCCAGTGCCCCTAACCACCACACCACCTGTTGGCCCCTTACTTTACCGCATTAAGACCTTCTCTCCAAATACAATCATACTCAGAAGCGCTGGGGATTAGCATTTCAACATGTAAGTGTGGGAGTAACACAAAGTAATGGGAGAAAACGTACAGAAAGACTCTTATAGAGCGAGTCCTGTAAGTGAAATGAAACAAAAGCGTTGTCAGTTTGTGGACTGTCCTCCCTGTTCAGCCCATCCTCAACTCCGAGGTATTCATTCCACCCTAGCCTGCCCGATGTGATACTTCCTTCTGGACTTCCCCCCAATCTAGCCTTTTTTTTTTTTCTTTTCATTCCACTTAGGTAATTCTTTAATCCTTACAACCTCCTCCTCTCTTTCATCACTCCCTCTCTTCCACTCTCCTGTGAGTAGCTTCCTCACCTTTCCTCCTCCGCCTCCAGTCAAGTGTTCAATCACTCACTGCCATCTAGTTTCACTTTCAGAGGGCCCTTCTTTGACAGGGTTAGAGAAGAGATAGCAAGCTTTGACTCAGCAGTTAGAGGACAGGAAGGGAAAAATCTGTCAATCAACATCTGGCTCTATCCACAAGACAGTCAGTAGATCCACTGTCTATATCTCCCTCCTCCCCTCCAGAACACGCAAGGTTAAAGTTATGTCCTTTCTCACTTTTCTCTGGCATTTCTTAAAGTGCCCTCTCCCTATCTTACCAAGTCCTGCCAAAGGGCAGTGACAAGTTAAGAGAATCTCTCTTACCACAAACAAACAGACAAAATTCAGCTTTTAATTCCTGACTGCCTTTAGGAAAATCAAATACTACATCCAAGGTGTGAGATATCACTGGCCCGGGGCCCACAGATGGTGTAGTGGTTACGTTGCTGGAATCCCATGTGACAGACCGGGTTTGAGTCCTAGACCTGGTGGCTTGAAAATCATGCAGGGCGTGTGTACGTGCTTGCCCAAGATCCCTGGAAGAGAACGGAAGAGAAAGGATTGCAATGTGGTCATCCCCCTGGGTGGGTGATTTCTTACTTTCCCCTTCACTGCCTCTGTCTCTCTCTCCAGGGAGTGCACATACCCTAAGGCAAAAATCTCTTAAAAAAAAAAAGAGAAAGAAAGAAAGAAAGAAAGAAAGAAAGAAAGAAAGAAAGAAAGAAAGAAAAAGAAAGAAAGAAAGAAAGGTCATTGGCCCATTTTATGACCAACTGATGTCATTCAATCTTTCTGGTGGCAAATTTCTTCATTTTGTATTTTAAGCTATTGGAAGGAAGTATCAGTGAATGACGGGGCTCCCTACCATTTTAGAAAATGACACAAACTTGGATAGTGTAGTTATTTAGTAGGGTTAGGCTTGAGGAGGATGGATACAGAAGCCTAAAATGCTAAATGATCATCTTCGAAAGTGTTGTGCTGATGGTTAACGCCTGACCATAAAATACGTACTAGCTTTGTTCTAAAGAAAACTACCAGAGACAATGTGGGAGGAGGGTGGGACATGGCAGAGGGTGAGGGATAGGGAATCAAGGATGGCAAAAAAAAAAAAAAAAAAAACAAAAAAAAAAAAAAAAAAAAAAAAGCAAAATATACAAGACATAAGAAATGGAAAATTATTTGTTGTTAACACGTATGTTGATGAGCTTGATCGAGCCAATATACAGTGCATTTTGGATGGAAAATTCATTTTGTATGCTGTAATGATGTATAGTGAAATAATGTAAAAAAATTTAAAGAAAAAAAAGAAAGAGAAATAAATTATTTAAATTATTAAAAAAACAACATAGGAGGAAGTCACAGTTGAAGATTTGTTTTGTGGAGCAGTTCACTGTTGTCTTTGCCAGCCAACTGCTATGACCTACCTTGTATGAGATCACCGTTTGGAAAAATGCATGCCATTAGTTACCATGACAAAGGTGTACACAGCTCAGTGAGCAACCATCCCCATGAAGGAATTCCTGTTCAGACTGGAGGACAGTTGAGTTAGCAGTGTGAAATGGATGGCGACAGCAGCAAGTTTTCTTAAGAATCCTAGAGATGAATGAAGGTGAGATCCATTCAGTCCTGAACACCTTTATGAATGGATTTTGTACATGCGTTGTAACTGTATAAAGTTTAAAACATTTTTTTTTTCTGCTGGGTTTCAGATTCTTTTTATTTTTCTCTTACTAGAAAAATAATGTGATAATAGTAGCAATGATAACAAGAGCAGACTCCGATAGAGACAGAGTATAAGTTGAGAATTAAGCCCTGCCCACAGATTATCTTACTTGTCCCAGTAACCCTGAAGTTTAAGTATTTCTTTTTTGTTTTTATTTGGAGAGGTTTTTGCTATAGGGCACATGCGCTATCCTGAAAGACAGAGAGAGAGACAGAGAGACAAAAAGCAAGAAATCACCCCCATGTCCAGTGGGAGTCCAGTGCCCTTAACCATCACGCCACCTGCCGGCCCCCGGAAATATGGTTTATTTAATTTTTTTTTTTTTTTGAGAGATTTTCACTGTAGGGCGCGTGCATTCGCCAGACAGACAGAGAGAGACATAGAGACAGAAAGCGAGAAATCACCCCCCAGGGGGGATGGTCACGCCGCAATCCCTTCTTCTCTATTCTCCTCTCGGGATCTTGGGCACGCACGCACACACGCCCGGCGTGAGTTTTAAGCCACCGGGTCCGGGACACGAACCGCAGTCGACTACGTGGGAGTCCAGTGACATAGCCATTACGCTAACTGCTGGTTCCCAATATGGTTTATTTTTAAGCATGAATTTGGGTGACCAGAGAGGAGGCAAACATGTTTTATTTAAGGAGATTAGATACAGGTTTTTTTAAATTTGATTTTGAGAGTGGGAGAAAGAGTTTGAAATTTAACAAGCATTTTTTTTTGTTTTGTTTTGCTTTTAATTGTTCTGGCCCAATTGTAGGTTATAGGTGGGTTTACAGATTTTAGGTTGGTGACTGGAAAAGAAAGGTTGCTGAAATCAGAAAGGAATGTACTTTTTAAAAAAGAATAATTATTTATTTAATTTTATATAGTCATGTATTTTAATTTGACCAGAGAGAGACACAGAGAGAGTGAGAGAGGAAGTGAGAAAGCAAGTCACTAGGTCCAGGACTCACACTGTGGTTGGCCATGTGGCACTGGCCATGTCCAGGGCCTCAACCACCACGCCACCTGCTGGTCCTGAAAGGAAAACACTTTAATAGAGCTAAGGAGGTTTAATGTACATCACAGAGATACTATGCCTGGAGCAGGATGTAGGAAGAGTCTTGATACCCATGGGTCAAAATGGCCTGCTAATGTTTGTGAGCGTGACTCTCTCCAGACCCATTGGAAACAATTTTGGAAAAAGGAAAAATCCCTCAGCCATCTCTCCTTGTACAGAATGTAAACAGCAACTTCAGGAAAGCCATTGAGCACAGTAATAAGTTATGCTCACAAGAAAGACTCAGCCACTTTCAGAATACATTATTTTCCAAGCAACCTTTCCCCCACCCCCCAAAGATTGCTTGAAATTCTACATTCTATTAGTGATTCTGGAATTGTCTCTTTTACCTGTCAGAAGGTGAGTGGAATAGGTCATGGCTTCTCTCTTTCCACCAGAAGGTACGTTCTTAAGTAAGGTCTCTTTCTAGAATTAATGTGCTATAGGTACATAATTGTTTATCTTGGTATCTGCCTATTTGGGAGCAGAAAAATAGAAGACCAGTTCCTCAGGAAAATAAGCACTATTACACATGCCTGTGTACATGCTTTGTATCTGTCTAGGTTTTCTCTAAGGAAACGTGTCTATATAAAACGTTATCTGGAAGACTTTCTTTCAGTAGTCCTTCAAAATGCCTTCAAATTCACTGTGAAGAGAGGGAGAAGAGTGAGTGAGCATACACATGAAGATGTGGTATTTCATCCTGGATAAAAGACCTGGAATAATTCATTGAAGGAGACGGGGGAATGAGCTAAAATTAACCAAAAAGTTATGACTTCATATACAGCTCCATTTGGGTTCTTTCTCTTACTTTCTCTCTAGTTTCTAAAGTCTTCCTTCCTTTTTGTTCCCAATTACTCTTAGTAGAAATAAGGGGACATGCAGGCAAATATGACTTCATGTACTCCGGAGCCTAACTCCATGGCCAGGGCTTGTTGGAGAGGAGTAGGGGCGTCTTGATGCTCTAGGAATTCACCCTCAGTGGACTGTCAATAGCTTATTTTCTGTTACCCTGAATTGGCCTTCTGTTTTGAAACCCAGCAAAGACCCCCTAATGTATTTTCTAAAGTTCTTGAAATATAAGGTCATTTACATTGTAATGATCCAGAGTAAGTAGTAAGTCTTCAGACTTTGGGTACAATAATGACCAACATGGACCATGAATGAGGGCCATTTGACCTCTAAAACTCTCACATAAAGGAAAGTATAAGGTTTTCATTTCAATATCTAAGATGTTTTGTAGGCTGGAAACTGCTGCTTGTGAGCTCAAAGACCCCAGGCTGAATGGCTCCAGACACCTGAAGAGAAATTTGATTATCTAAGGCCTCACCAATCAAGAATGCCCACGAGATGATCACAAACTCTTGAACCAGTCATTGGACTGATCACAGGCCTGGGACCTCTGCCCCTAATTTTCTCATTAAAAACGCAGGTGGGGAACATCTCGGGGAGCCCAGGTCTTTTCAGCATGAGCTGCCTGCTTTCCTTGCTTTGTGCTTTGCAATAAAGCTGGACTTTCTTTCATCACACCATGTGCCTATGGCTTGGTTTTATAGCGCTTGGGCGAGCGAACCTGATTTGAGTTCGGTAAGAGTTTCCATATTTCAACACTGGAGAAAATACTGAGGAAGACACTGGAGATAAAATATCTTGTTTTACCATCTGAATTGTTGAATAAAACCCAGGAGCACAAATCTGATTTTGTGTAATGTACACAACTCGGTTTTAGAGCAAGTTATTCATAAGTACCAAGTCTGGTTAATATTTGTTTATCTAAGTATCGCACGGTTAACACTTTGTTCTTAAAACCTGTATTATGCTCCTTCTGATAACCAATTCTATGGGCAGCTAAAACTGGTTCTGGGATTGTCAGTCCTATGGATATTACTGGCCTTTGATTTTAAATCTTTTAAGGCAAATGCTGTCTCCTGGAGTTCATAGGCTCTTCATATCAACCATGGGAGAGGGACGACTAGAATTAGAGTACCATGTGGCTTACCAGTGTAAAGATGTTTTTCAGAGGTCTGAGTTAAGTGTCTTTGATTTATTGTGAAGCCTTGGAAACCTCCAGGTGCACAAGCAACTCTATTTCTTTTTATACCACACGAATCTTTTCCTGTATGTTTTTCCTCTCCCGCCCCTGCACATAGATTGACAGCAAACACCCTATTATCTGGATCTGTAGACAAATAAGCTTGAAATCTGAGCAATAACAAGGGCATATGAAAAGAGGCACAGGCCTGCAGGAAAGTCAATGAAAACTGGGTTAAAAAAAATACCCACAAACTTTCTCATTTAAGGAAACATCCTCAGTAGAACACCATGAATCTTGGTGCTGACCACGGATGTCAGCTTTTCTGTTTTCTCCTCCTCTGCAAGATATCTCAGTTGCTTCTGTGATGCAGAAAAAGTCTGGCCTTTGGCTCACATCCCAGGACTATTTCCTAGGTGCCTGAATGCACCTGTTCTGCCATGCCGGCACTCAAAAGTTCCTTAAAAACAAAATATGTGCAACAAACACCAAAGCAAAGAGGTGAAAAGAAATCACACTGCATGTTGAGAAACAATCCATCATTCGCGGTGGCATGTAACCAGGCATTAATTGCCGTGTGAGAAAGAACAAAGCTCTTTTTAAGTCAAAATATTGAGTCTCATGCTGGGTTATAACCTTATGCATTATTTATCTAAGTGGTGTCTAGAAATGAAATAAGGTTTGCAGGATTCTCCCCCCCCCCCATATAGCCACTGCTTCTGACTCACTCCTCTGACTCATCAACCCCACACTGTTCTCGCTGGATGAATTTGGCAGAAAAGCAGGATATTGACCATTAAAACTATTTTATGGGGTTAACTTTCCAATTAGTGCTAGAAAGACTTTCTAGTTTTTGAAATGGGACTCTTGTGATCTACCCAATGAACAAGTCTGGCGTCGTGAATTCACTACAGATGGATTTAAAAATAATTCAACAAAATAATGTGCAACATGGAATAATAAAAACATAGTGGAGTTTTTTTTTTTCCCTCTTCATATTTATGATTTTAAGTTTAAAAGCATAATTAAATGCTACTGTTTTTACAGTAGCATATACAAACTAAGTAGGTTTTAAGCACCTTATTCAAAGCATTAATAGAAGTTTCATGAGGGAATTGGTAATATTATACTGAAGATAAAGAGAGGAGAGTGTGTCCTTTAAGAAAAGTGAATATTTTTCTAATTTTTTTCAACCTTCATGGAATTACTACTATGCTTTTTATGTTTTTATTATTATTATTATTTTTAGTTTGCTATTGGGTGTATGTGCTTGCCCTTGCTAAAGAGAAACAGACAAATGGAGAAAAAGAAAGCAATAAATCACACCCCCTGGGGGGGTGTTGGCCACACCACAATCTAGTCTCCTCTTCTCCTCATTCTCCACTCAGAATTTGGAGTACCTGTGCACACGCAGCCAGCATGATTTTCACGCTTCCAGATCCAGGTTTCCAGGTCCTTGAACCACACAGTAGCCCTGTGGGATCCAAATGCCTTAATTGCCATGCCACCTGCTGACCCAGTACTGTGCTTGCACTTGCTTAATGACACCAATGTAGCCAAGACGGAGGCAAGTGTTTAAAAAAAACTATAGGAAATGGAAAAATTTAGGCCCAACAACAATATCGCTCGTGGCTGAAATGCAGTCTGTGTTCTGCAGATCTGGAACACATGGGAGGCATGGGTTCGATCCCAAGTCCAACCTAACGGCCGTGAATGACAGCACATCCTGTACCCGTGCCACGGAGGGAGGCTGAGGCAGGAGGATTATGACATGGTAAGACCAGGTCTTTAAAAAATAATAAAAAAGAAAAGAAAAGAAAAGAAAAAAAAATGAAAAGGTATTAATTATTCATTATCCTGCTGTTATATATAAAATATTCCCAATAATACAAAAAAAGGACTCCATTTCATCCTGAAAAAAAAAAAAAAGATGTACATCATACAACCTTGTAATTCTTCCAATTCGAATAACACAGGTCGACTAAACTTTTACCCAGAAAAAAAGTTCACATATTTAACTTCTTTTTTTTTCATTAAAGGAAGATGTGCTGCTAACACCTTAGCATATTTTATTCCTATTCTCAGTTTGCATATATGGAAATACCTAGGCTATTTGCTTATCATACTCACTCAGCAGGCTCCTGCCCTGTCCCAGGCACCAACTCCATCCCTGGAGACTATCAGTCAAGACAGAGCTCAAAGTCCTTCCATTTTACTTGACCTAAATCAGACCGTGATGAAGAATCAAGACAAGGGGGGACGAGCAGTTAGCGTAATGGCTATGTTGCTGGACTCCCATGTAGTCGACCGCAGTTTGCGTCCTGGACCTGGTGGCTTAAAACTCACATGGGGCGTGTGTGCGTGCCCAAGATCCCGAGAGGAGAATGGAGGAGAAGGGATTGCGGTGTGGCCATCTCCCCTGGGGGGTGATGTTCTCGCTTTTTGTCTTTCTGTCTCTCTCTGTCTTTCTGGCGAGTGCATGCGCCCTATAGCAAAAACCTCTTAAAAAAAAAAAAAAAGAAGAAGAAGACAAGGTAGTTTTTAATTAAGTGTATTGATTTATTGCATGAATGAGGGAAACAGATACAGAGGCAGACAGACATTCCTGCAACAGGGACCTGATGCCATGATCCACACTCCACCTTGAGCCCACCTGGAATATGGAGAATTTTGAACCTTGCATGGTCGAGAGAGGTCTGTGGACTTGAACTGAGAACCTTCCCAGGTAGACTGCCTTGTAGAGAATCACCTTTTATCACCGCACCATTGTCTGGCTCCCAGAACAAGGTAAACTTTTACCAGTCACCACACTCCCCTTAGATGAATAAAAGGGTACTTGATGTGCAAAGATAAACATGTGTGTACATTTGTTTTATATATGTATGGGTATGTGCTTGTTTATGTCAAAGTCGCAACAAACATTTTTTTGGAGAAGTTTTTGCTATAGGGCACGTACGCTCACCAGAAAGACACAGAGAGACAGAGAGACAGAAAGCGAGAAATCACCCCCCAGGGGGGATGGTCACGCCGCAATCCCTTCTCCTCTCGGGATCCTGGGCACACACGCACATGTGCCCAGCGTGAGTTTAAGCCACCAGGTCCGGGACTCGAACAGCAGTCGACTACATGGGAGTCCAGCGACATAGCCATTATGCTAACTGCTATTCCTAAGCTTTTAATCATTATGTAAGCCCTTGAAAGAAATACATATTTTACATAAATATTAAACACTATCCATATTAGAAGTATTATCAAGATGTTGATACTCTATTAGACATATTTCTCTTTTGACTCCAGACTAGAAGTATTATCAAGATATTGATACTCTATTAGACATATTTCTCTTTTGAGTTCATATATAAGAACACAATAGATTTAGTAAAACAAATCGTCTAATAAAATCAATATCACCCCTGCTCCTGGGATCTGATAAAGTGTGATAACAATCTTATTGAGTGTCTTGTT